GGCGACACGCCTCCGGTGATGAACGGGTTAGGGAAAGACAACATAGCCGACGTATACCCTGCGGCGGACTCGAGTCCGGAAGACGGCGGCGGCGGGAGAATTCAACATTCACGCATGCGAATGCGCGCAGTGCGGAGACGTGAATTCGCGCATGCAAAGGGCGAACCGTTATGCCGTATAGCCGGCTGCGTACGTTGTAACCAGTAAGAACGTTGGACGTTCTTGAATTCGGAGAAGAAAAGACTGCTCTCCAGTCTCATTCTCTCATTCTTGATTCTGCGAGTTCCAGCTTCCAAGATTACGCGCAAGGGCGGAGAGACCTACAGTGAGAGGAGAGAGTGCGGAGACGAGTTGCGCAAGGATCTTGACAGACCTTGGAGAGAATTGCGAGTAGCGAACTTGAGCGTGAGCGAAGAGAGAGTGAACAGTCAGTGCTTGAGCGGCCGACGCGCAGTGGCGATTGTGAGAGGGCGAGCGAAAGGGAGAACGTTTGTGTGTGCAGGAAACGCAATGTCGAAGGTTCCCCAGCTGCGAGTGTCTCCCCTCAGGGTGCCGCAGATCGGTCTACGCGCATTTCAAGATGTGCTGCTGGGGCTGAAGCTCGATTTCCTCCTGTGGGGGTGGAACTGGACATGTCCGGAGATGGTGCGCGAGTATCTGCAGGAGAGACACAAGCCCTCACGCGGATTCCGTCCACATCCAGAAAGATGGGACATTTGTAACTAGGCGCAGGTGTTGGGCAGGTGTGCCGGCGAGGAAGGGGATCTCCTCTTCGAGGCCGATAGCGTGAAGGTGTCCCAGGAGGAAGAAATCTCCTACAATGAGCTCTTCAAAGTTGCCAGGCATCCCAAGAACGGTTTCCGGACACGGGATTACAAAGATCGATTGCGGAGAAATGTCGCGACTGCATTGCTGCAGATATTGCAGCCGACCAAGACCGCTTACATGCATGGTTGGCAGGTAGAATTTGTGGAGCTAGTGTTGTCAGGAGCTCCAGTGCATTGCGCACGACTCCTGTGGAAGGTAACGCGCCAACATGCGCAAGAAGAGAAAGGAGGAACCCTCAATCATCTTTCGCCTTACTTGATTGTGTTTTATCGGACGATGGGATGTTTGACAAATTCAGAGCGGACACGGTTTCCGCTGCTGACACGGAGCTATCCAAGTAGATACTCACGGGAGGCCGAAGTAGACACGGATCCGGACGAGGAACCTGCCAGTCCGCCTCCGGCTCCGGCCCCAGCAAGAGCAGCAGAAGAACGTCGAAGTGAGCGCATTCCGCGAAAGCGGAAGTGGGATGAGAGACCTGAGGACAGGCAGCCGGAAGTGCCAGCTGCGCCGACTCGTGGTCGGCCCACCCACGAGCCTCACAGTCGACCAAAACAGAGGGCACGCAAAATGCCAACTAGTACTGAGGAGACCGGGCGTACTCCGGTCCGGCGGAATCCCACGCAGAAGGAGATAATCGCGCAGATTCTAGGGAAGTCGACAAATACCTCTGCGCAGAAGGCACCAATGCCTTCGGAAGGAGATGGACGGACTGACAGTCGGCCGACTACGAGTCGGGCGACTGAAGGTCGACAAGCGGAAGGAAGGCCAACTGAGCGGCGCGTTGAACCGGACAGCCGGCCAGAAGCAGAAGAGAGTTTGGCTGACGAGCCAACAACCCTCAGAAATTCGTCTTCGGCGGAAGGCACTTCTGGGAAAACGCCGCCAGCAAGCAAGCCAAGTGGAGTAAAGACACGCAGGGTGTATCCGACTCCCAGTCGGACAACTGCTAGTCGGCCGACTGCGAGTCGGTCAACAGAGAGTCGGCCGGATTCGCCGACTGCGAGACGGACAGGGCCGGCGACCAGTGTGCAGCCGCCTTCGGCGGACGCACCTTCAGCGAAGACACCTTCCGCGCAGATTGCGCCGGAAGGGCAGGCAGCAGAAGCGGGCGGTGCAAAGGTGACAAGAGTCACTGCGGCGTCGACCCCTTCGGAGACCGAAGATCGAGCCGGAACAGGGGCTCAAGCAGTGGGATCCCCCACTGCCCTGGATATTTTAGCAGGCAGTGGTGTGGCAGTCGCAGCGGAAGCTGCTGCGCGCCACAGTTCCAGGGAGTCGCCAAGGGATTCGGTGGCGACTGAAATCCTCGAGACTGAGGATGAGACGAGCTCGGAAGAGCAGGAAGCGGACTCTGTGCAGAAAACGCCAACAGGGGTGTTGTGCGAGCAGATAGTCCCTCTCCTGCGATATCTGGATCGCAAGACATCCAAGTACTCGGGTACTGGAAAACCGCAGTCTTATGTGGAGACTGTCAAGCGCAGGACGAGGAGCAAGGTGGCCACTTGGGCCTCTAGGTGCCAAGTATATGTGGAAAGGAACACTGCCCTCCGACAACACCTGGCGGTCACACAGAAGCTATACCAAGCCTTGCAGCAGCAGAGGGAGGATGCGGCGACGAAAAGCCAGGCGGAGGCCGAGCTAATGCGGGCAAAGATCGAGTCAGAATTGCAGGAAGAGCGGAGACAAAACCGCATCCTAGCAGCAGAGCTTGCGCGCTAGACGCGCGCCTTGGAAGAAAGTCAAAGAGCCCGCAAGGAGGATGAGGAGTTGTTGCGCAATTTGCAATCCGAGTGCTCGGATTTGCGGGCGCAGCGTGCGGAAGCGGAAATGCAGCTAGCAGAGGTGGAAGGCAGCTGCCGGGCGCGAGAAGAGTTGGCGACGCGGGTGACTCACTGTCTAAAAGGATACGCCCATTGGGAGGTGGCAGCTCAAGAGAGGATCACACTCAGGGAGTTCGAGCTTCGGGCGTCGGCTTTGACGGAGGGTGACAGTCGGAGTCGGCGGCGAGTAGCGAGGAAATTAGAAACCTTCTTGTCGGGTGCGCGCGACACTATGGCGCACTTAGAGTCGGAAGTCACTGCAGCCCTCCGACGCCTGGGGTTGCGCAGCCGGTCGGAAGACTGGCAAGGTAGAGACAGCGAGCGGAGCAGTCCGGCGCGCAGGAGGCGCAGCACCGGATCCGCCGAGTGCAGTAGTATAGTTTGGTTTCGCGCAGATGTTGCGAGTAGTAGATAGCATAGCGTAGTGTTAGTTAGGACCTTTGAGGGTATAAAGTAGATCAAGGCGTTTTGCCTTGAGACTCTTCCAGTTTCGGAAGTGCAGATCAGGAACTCACTTTCTTGACGTGTTTGTGCATTTTTGCTCCTGGCACCACGTAGAGAAGCTGCAGCATAGCGAAGTTACCGTATGTTGTAGTTGAAGGCCTTCGGCTGAATGTTCAGAGCTAGCACCCGGTTAGAGACTTGAGTAGTGCGGATCTGCACCTGCGGGTGATTTCTGATGCTCAGAGCCGGCTGCGAGTTAGATACTTGAACAGTTCCCCCTTACTCCTTCGAGTGACATATCCTGATTGTACTCCTACGGGAAGTTTCCCTTGAATGCCAAAGTGAAGTTTTATTACTTCGTGTAAGCCTTGGTTTGCAATTCAGGTTGTGTGTGTGTTACTGGATCGTGTCTCAGTTAAGTTCTCAGTCGGGCCTGCACTCCCTGCGTTTGGTGTGAGTCGAGAATGACGTCCACGGCGTATGAAGAGGCTTCGTTCCGAAGTGGGAAGTCCAGTCCGGGTACCCTACGCTAGTTCCTGGCGGAAGGGCAGTAAAAGCCGGAGTGGGAGTCACTACCTGCAGAACCTCTGAGTGAACTTTTGAGACACTTTCCTCCTGAAATCCGAAGCGGAGGTCCTGACCGACCTCCGAGTTGTGCTTTTGCCAGTTTCAGGTGTGTGTGTGTGTGTGTTGAGTGACTACGCTGTACTGTGCATCCTCCGAGCATCCTCCGAGTCGAGATCCTCCTCCGAGTCGAGCCTCCGAGTCGAGCACTGCAGTATTTCTGGGAGTGACAGTCGCCTGAGAATTCAAACTCTACAAAAGTCTGTTAAACGTGACACTTTTACTCTGCGTGTTGCCTCTGTCCCTGTGGGTTCGATCTTTTTACCACCATACTGCAGTTTTAGCCTTTGGTGGGTTATTACAATTCCATCGCCAAAAACCTTGCTCAAATTTGTGCGTATGCCAGCACTTTCACACTGATCTAGGGAATTTTACGCTGCATGACACTGTACAATTTCACACGGGTTCTCTATTGTCTCGCATGAGACTTTGGAGACTTAGTGGAACCGGTGAGCGAATTGGACGTTTGGCTTTCATTGCAGTTTCTCTCCCTTTAGACTTGCAGTACTCCAAAGTTGGAGTCTGCGGGTATGTAACAACGATAGGCTGCCACACTTGGTACTCGTAACCAAAGATATATACTTTGTTTAGATTATTAGAGACTACCATACTAAGCGTTAATGCTCATCTATTATGTTCTTGAACTAAGATTGGTTTGTCATGTATATTGAGGATGATTGGTTCGAATTTGCAAATTTGAATTAAATAGTTATGATATCTTGATTCTTATATAAAAATATTTGTATTGGAATTATATTGAGGCTAGCCCATCGGAAGATGATATTGAATGCTTCCAGGGCTCAATGGCCATATTTTGAAGGATTTTCATGGATAAAATGACAAAAATCGTTGAAGAACATTAAAAAGCGTACAGTTACATGGTACAAGATCAGTATAATGGATCTTCATGCCATTACATAAGAGTCCTGAAATGAATACCCAATACCCATGGGTAAATGGGTGGTTACAAGGAGTGGATGGGTTTCACTTAGATTGAGCTCTCGGATTAAGTGTAGTTAAGAGCTTATAGGATTAAGTGTAACCAAATGGTGGTGGTATCATGGGTATGGACAACGGTAATGGGTGAAAGAGGGATATGAAAAAATTGCCATGGGTGGATAGATTTGATACACTCAGGGCAAAGCTTTGAAGCCCAATGCAGTACTATGCATGTCATGCAGAGTCCTGCATTACATCCAACAAATATTTTTTCTGAAGAAGAGTATTGAGATATGATGAGCCGAACAATACCTCAAGGAGATTAATGAGAATCGGACTTGCGGGTGTAAAATCTGATGCTTTGCACGTTTCTCTTGGTTTAAATAAAGACAGCATAAATAATTGCTTAGTCCAAAGCTAGGGTATTAACGCTCGGCCTGTTAGACAGTGAGCGTCCCGATGGTCCATTAAACTGCAGTCTCATCTGATCTTGACCTATCAAGCCAGGACCGTAGTACTGCATATCCCTGCCTAGAAAAGTCCAAATGATGCTGATTACCTCCGTGCTGTTTCGACCCATGAATTCAGTGACCGAGTGCACACTGCATTCGTACATCTCCACAGCTGCTAGCGTTAACTCCGAGTCGGGTTCTCTCTCGTAACCAGCACGAATCAGAAGATCTTCAGTCTGAAATCTGAAGTCGCTCTGCCACCACACCATAGCCTCCTCGCGTCGTATGATGATATCACCCAGCCGAGGCCTGATGGCCTGGGCGTCCGGAAGCTCTGGTTGTTGCCTACCGACGACCATCCACCGACGATTGAAGGTCTTCAATGGAGGCGGCAGCGGCTTCGACTGAGCTCTCGAAAACAGGAACCAGCTCGGGGGCGGAGTTTCCCACTGAAATTCGAAACACTCGAAAGGATTGAGAAAAGACCACAACCAGTAGATACTGAATGAGCCGAAGCGTACAATCATGTCACCTTCATCGAAACACCTGTCCATCATGTGCTCGAGCTCGTACACGTCTTTCCTTCTCCTTTCGAAGTATCCATGGTCGACGAACAGCGTGCAACGACCGCCGGGATTAGCCATGGGATGACTACTTGCCCCTGCAGGGTCGAAGGGAGGTCTCGACCTTCGAGTGATCATGATATCACCCGGGATTATGCGGAGTCCTTCGGCCCGACTTCCTAATTGCAGTCCACGATACGGCTCCACCGGTTGCTGAACAACTCGAGGATCCACATTCGAGGTTGTGGGTGCAGGTTCAGGTGCCTCTGGCTTCTGCTCTACTGGCGGCGGCGGCGGCGGCGGGTCCTTGGTCTCGTTGCTCACAGGCTTGGGTGCGGAGGACTTCTTCTTCGATTTCTTAGCCCAATTTTCAATCCATGGCCTATCCCACAACCTCGAATGCGATCCTTCCGAATCTAGAGTCCTGTTCGATTGGAGTAGATTTGAAATCTGGACCATTCGGTCAACTTCGGGATGGCTTGCCAACAGATTTACTGATTTACTTGGAGCCAATCGATACTTCCCTGACTTCTGAATAAGGATGAATGTTGAGTACAGTTGAGATATCGTAAACATGACGAATTCAATCCACTGGCCTGTTGGAAGCTCGAATAGTAATGAGAGTCTGTGGACTTCAAGAATCTCTAGGGAGTTTCCCATGAGATGTGTGAAGTCATGTAGGGCGAGCAACGTGAAGTAAGAAACGAACCAGACTCTGAACTCACTGCGAAGGACGCAATAATCGCTAATGTTTGAAAGATTACAGTGGCTCAGACCCAAAACTCCGATCTCGGATTGGGAATTGAGGATGAAAATCTGTGGTTTGTACCAATTAAAATTCTCCCGCCCTGCTCCCAAATCATCGTCAGCATGGGGGATCGATTTTCTAGTGCAGGACAGAGAATTTGCGCAGAACAGAGTGCAAGCTCTGTGCATCGTGACGAAGTCCGAGAGGTTAGTGTACAAAGCCACCCAATTGCCCAGACAAATTTCAGAATTCGTCATATTTTCTATCCAGATCAGCTTCCACCTGCTAAGTCCCCAACCAACTGCTGCACACACTCATCCAACCCTGCCTACACCCATCAGATCTACAAACTCAAACCGCCTGTTGGTTCGTCTTTTCTCAGCGCATCCTGTGGCAGAAGGCCATGCCACTCAAACTGACACGAAGCTCGAGAAGACGTGCCCCTTCAAACCCAAAAAAAAACTAGATCGAGGTATAGACGATTGACAAGTTTTAGACCATATTCTGGTAGAGAAATACGAAGTTCACCGTAAGATACATCCTCGCCGTGCTCTGTTGACCCTACAGGACTACTGTCGAACACCCCGATTCTAGTCGACAATAACAGGAGCTCGGAAAGGGTAGAAATCCCAATCCCAGTCCAAAGCTCAAGCCCAACCAGGGACGCAGGTTTCTCGACCTCGACAAACGATATCAGATGCTTCTGCGACATCCGATCTGTAGAACAGCTTCAACTAGGACAGTCATACCAGGGCGTTGCTAGCAGCAGATTTAGATATCGAAATGATCCACATTAGATCAGCTAGAACGGATCAAAGAGTATGAATTCGCTCACATCGATGGGATTTGTAATCGCGGTCGGATGAGGACTCAGTGTCAGGGGTACTCATTCGGGTCAGGTCTTCTTCCCCAGACAGCCTCAAAGAGACCCCAGTGAGGAATCGGTCGGCGAACGAACGGTTCTATCCCATTCAAATCTAAAATTGTGTCTAACCCCGTTCTGGGGTCTCGTTGCGGAGGACCGAACATCTGCACATCTCGGCCTCGGAAGATCCAGGCCCAGTGTATGTACGGAGGCGAGTGGGTTGAGGACGGTACGGGCAGCACTGCCGGGAGGCCAGTCTCCATCATATACAAATCGGCAGTGAAGATGCGATAAGTGTTTCGCGATTTCATGATACTGACGCGAAGGATCAGATCCTCGTCGACGAACCCGAAGGTCTTGAAGGTGTCGTGAGTCAGCTGCGCGACTAGATTTGCAGAAGGACGTATGACGATATCGGTTACCCGAGGGATGAAGGCCTGAATGTTAGGAGGAAGGGGCACCGGTCTGTACATGACCATGACCTGAGGAAAGAAGAAATCCGGCGGGGCCAGTTTGATTTGATTGGGAAGCCTGTCGTGCATGTACCATTTCCCCGGGACGCGCTGATCAGGGCGTTTGAAAATGAAGAAGTCGATCGTCGACTGAGGCCGCCATAGCCACCCTGGCATAAATTTTCCGAATCGAACGATCATGTCGTTGTGGTTAAAAAACCTTTGCATCTGGAACTCGATCTCTTCTCTAGCATTCTGATCCCTCTCGAAATAGTTGCGATCGACGAAAATGGTTGTATTGCCCCCGGGATTGGCTCCAAGATAAGACTCCAAAAATGGACGTCTAGGTCTTTGTAGAATCATGACATCGCCGGGCACAGGAAGGAAGGATTCGAGATGTGAATTCCGTTCATAGTTGTCATATTCCCCTGGAAAGCTACCCACTACACGCTGATTCGCAATGCGCCATTCTCCCCCGTCCAATCTGACGTTTTCATTATTACGACTTGGTACAGGGTAGTATATGCCGTGCGGGTCGCGACGCCTCTGCTCTACAAGTACCCGCTCGTCCAATGTAACGTCTGAGTCTTGCGGCTTGTCCGTGATCTTTGGGACGCTTTCGGGATCAGGACCGACGATGCCAAATTGCTGCTGCGGCGCAGTCCTCTTGTCTCCACCCAAACTTTGAGAAACTTCTACGATGAGAGGAAGATTGTAATCATCATGAAGCTTTGCTGCTGAATGGACCGGAGCCCTTCTTCTGGGCGAGTTCAACGGCAAGCTGTCTGAATCTGATTCATCATTTATCTCGTCTTCAGAAACAACCTTCTTCTCCCCATAGAGACCGTTCCTAACCCAGGCATCGTCAATTTGTGGATCGGTGAGGAAAGCACCTCGTTCTACCGATTCATGAGACGAAACAGCACTCGGTTCCTTAGATGCAATCCCAGACTTAGTCACACGATCATCTATATTTTCAATCCGAGTAGGAGGGCATGGTTGGGAATTAGTTGCTTCGAGTTGTGGAGTTATTAACATTGTTTGGTTCAGGTTTTGGCCAGTAAGGCTGAGGAATGTTGTGGAGTTTGGAGAGTTGCTTTCTCCTTCTGCCAGGACACATGTTGGGGTACAACAACTTTTGTCCTTGTCAGCCCCGGATGCGGTCGATGTCGCCCCAATGTGTGAATCTTTAGCAGCGAGTAGCATTGAAGCGAGCGCGGCCATGCTCGAGACGCTCACGTTGTTGTTATCCAGGTATCGGCTTTGACATGCCGCGGAACTCATGAAAAGTTCCATGGCGTAGCGATCGATGAGACTTGCCTCGCGTGCCTACTTCTAATAATTCTTCACTATGAAGAGAAGTGTTTTACGAATAGTTTCAGCAATCTGATCTCCTGGAACTCTGGGGACGCCATTCGAAAGACAACTTGACGTTTCAGAATCGGGCTGGAACTCATGGCCAATCATCGTTCTATGTGTTCAAAGCATGTTTGAGCCAATCCTTGCAAACTCTGCTGGCCTGTTGTCCGTATACTATTGCCTTTTGAACTCGGGGATTCTTTTGTTTTGAAACATAAAATTTTTGACTATGTCAATAGAAACACTAATGAAATTCTTCTGACCTGCTAGTCACATCCAACTTCTTGAATTCGAAGTCTAACTCAAGAACGTCAAAATAAAACCGAAGGTTATAATATCTGACCTAATAGGGGTTGTCTGAGGGACTAGGTCCAGTTGAAACCTCTTCTCCATACTTTTTGCCAGAGAAAACTGATTCGTAAGATATATCACTACCCGAGTAGCCGAACTTGATCTTACTAGCAAATCATGAATCTCTTCTACTTCCAGCCTGTCTAGACTCAGACGAGGTAGTGCAGGGATCAATTCAGTAGTGTAGCAGGAGCCATCATGCCTCGGAAAGTGGGACTTTAGCTCTTGCAGTTCATACTTCTTGTTATTTTGTGTTATAATTGTTGACTACTTTCAAGGAGGTGAAACACATTGCACTTCAGTTCACAAGCATCACAATGAGGACATCGAGAGGAGGATTGCGGATCAAAGAGGCTGCTAGAAATCAATAACAGTTATCCTATTATGAGCCCTGAGATGGGTCTAACCATAATCTTGGCAAGAAACGAACTACAGAACGGTTGAGTCATATTAACCGGGATGTCAACTTTTCTATCATGACAAAAACTTGTAAATCGGACTAACAATGTCTGGCACCCTTAAAAAGACCATATCCTCGGTGATTGAATCGCTTGCTGACATAAATATGGGGAATGAATATGCGGATTTTATACTCACAGAAGTAACGAACGTGTGAACTGTTTATGAAGAACGCTCTTGATCACATTTGATCGTCATACAGTATGAAAACGGATGCAGCTGGTACCGATGGTAACATTCGTTACGCCCCGTTCAAAGTTTTCACCTCATCTTGGTACTGTTTATGAAAGACGCATGCTTCTAAACTCTCTATTGTAGTGTCGATCAAATGCAAAGAAGAATTGGCCATTTAACTGCTAAATCTAGTTGGGCTACTTATATCTGTACCAGATTGGGGTTAAGGGGAATCCTTGCACGTTGAATACGATAGATACACCTCTTGAGTTGAACACTCAGTTGGCTTATTATCTTGTAATACATACCAAGCTGGATGTAAGCCTAAAGCTTGGCCGGTATATATCTTGGAGATATAGCTTAATTTCAACGAAATTATTCTATTTTCCCATCACAGGTACTTGAATTACAGTCTCATTTTCTCATGTCCACTGGAAGTATACAAGACTAAAATTTTGACGAGATCTGTAATAAGCAGTTTCACGTGACATGAGTCGTAAGATCTCTGACTGGTTTCTTGAAAATATGAAATATTGTGGTTAAATTTGAAGCCTGATGTACAAAAACAACAAAGCCTAGAATATCGCCTGCTTTGCCAACAACACAGATTGCATTATTCGTCTGTCTCAAGATCGTGCTACTGGTTTGGCTTAGCGAACTAGTAGAGGGGACCAAGCTTTACAATTTAACCCTGCAAATCCCTTCGAAGCATTTCCACATGGAATTCGAATCATTTTCTTTCACCCAAAGCCTCTAATTTAAGATGCAGTACATAATAGTTCCAACTATAGAGATCTATAGTTGGAACTGATTGTGCTTGAAAGCCAGAAGCTGCAATCATATTTTGTTCGTAAATCGAAAACCATAAGAGCCTTGAATTTGCTGTATTAGCAGCTACGTTGCATATGCCTTGGATTTCTTCCACTAGCTTGAGCTAATTATTGCCATCACTTTCACCCAAACCAGGTACCAATTCTGGACATCACAGCAGTCTAGACTCAAATTTGTTTAACCCATATGGTTGACGAGGCCAATGGCCCCTAAGCAAGATGGGAATGCCACTGCCTCTTGGAGCCAATAACATGGGAACGGTCTACACGTTAGCGGCCCATGGTCCAAAGTCAGCTTGTAAAACAAGTTACAAGCAGATTTTATGATGCTGCGATGAAGTCGCAAAGTCTTACTTTCCAGTTCAGCGTGGATGGTAGTTATTCTGATTGAATCTTTTAGTTTTATGCAGATTTATAATATCTGGACACTGACATAACTCTGATAAGCAGTGATAAAAAATGCATGCGCCCATGAAAATTGCTACGCACACTGCTGTAGAGCTTCCAAGATGTTCCGCAACTGATTGAAATGAAATGCTTATGGCTTCCATACATAACATTAACATACCAAGCCTCACTAGAACGGAAGAAATCGTCACAACTTTTTTATGTTCAACACATCTGTTTGCTACCTGGAGTCTAACCAATCATAGAGCCCTTTCTATATGGTCTGATATCAGTTTAACACATCCAAGGTTGCATCAGTTTGGACCACAAGGTGCAAACATGTAAGGACACTATACTGACCGATTTTACCTAGGCAAATATGATCCACACGTCTGTGACTAAAAGCCTCCGAGATTATCCTATCGTTTTCCACTACGCTTGTATAAATTTCCTCAAAAAGCTGAATGCAATTTACGCTCCATCCATGCAATGCTTTTAGCGGCAAATGTGTTGTATCAAGTCTCGTTTCATTCCAGAACCCGAATTCGGTTTTGAGCGTCAGATACATTGCCTCAAGTCTGGTTTTAATCCCGCATGTTTTTATCGATTTCGATGTGGACTGTGACTCATAACTCTGCAACTTTGCAATAAGAAAGGACCTACACCTTCTGGAATGTGAAGTAACAACCATGGCATACGCAGAACAGAATAAGCAATCTTCATGTGATGTGGTGTCTGCATATAAATGAAGCCACATACAGAAGCCCGGATGCAGGATTTTAAAGCGCTCAAGTTATTCCTCTAACCATCGAAAGGTATCTCGTCCATTGTCATGAAATATTTCTTCTTAATGGAGTTGAGGACAAAAAATTAGACAAATCCTCCTTTCAAAGCTGTACTATTCATAATTACAAGTTAACCACTGAAAAAACGCAATGTAAACCCTGCCCTTGGCCGCTCAGAGGTTTCACAACACAAAACTTTTCAAGTTAGAGCAAGCATCCCACTTCTGACTTATTTGTATGGGAATTTCTTGAAAGCTTCCACGGCTTATTTAGCTTTGAAGAGCCGAAGTTATTCAATGTACAACATATCTCAACTCATCTATTGAAGAATCATTATTCATAATGAGGTGGTTGTAAAAATCAATACTTGGAGACAATGTTTGTATTATGCAGAATATTGTTAAATCGTTACCACATCGTGACTGCTGCGTGGTCTAAGTTAATTTCCTTACAGCGAGGTATCACCAGAAACAGAGTATGTCATTTAGATAAGACGTCCAGTATATTCCTTGTGATCTCTGTATCTGTCCTGTATGATATCATCACACGAATACTGCATCGCGGCAACCAATGAGAAAAACCGTATGTAAACAAGTTAGACTTGTTCTCCTTACCTCACACACGTCATCGGAATGTCCGCTTTCCTATGAAAACCCTCACCTCCTTATTTATAGACTCCAGATCAAATTACATATGAAGTTGTCATGGTTGGCAAGGAACAGCTACATCAGATACAAAATCGAAATGGAAAAACCTATCAATAGCAATCTTTCCAAGCATTCTTTAAGTACTAAGTGGCAAAAACGGAGGATCTACAACCAAAGAGTATGCTGCAGGTCTTATCCGAAAACGTTGACCATGGATCGCGAATGAAGGCCTAGCTCCTCCCCGACACTTTATTCAATAATGATTAATATTTCAACGTTTTCTACCATTCCCCGAATTGCCCATATACAAACAATAAGCTGTATGTTACAACCTGTGCTCCAATCCTCCCTGCACACTTGAAGATTGGCTCTTAATACCCAAAGTAAGTATACCCCTTTACATACATCCCTCATACTACTGAACCAGTCTTTGTACATGGGAGGAAACAGCATCTTTTATGGCACAGTAGGAGCCTGAGCTTCCAAGTCAATCATGCAGAACCACCTAAGCTAACTAGTGTTGGGTGGCTGGATCAAACACATTCTCAGTGATAAAAATCGTGAACCTAGGATGTACAATACAGAATAGTCTGATAAATGGCATAGAGGTCATTTACAAATTCTCTGACTTTTCTAGATAAGATTGGAAGCAAGTTATAGCTAAAGAGTTATTATCAATGAAGTATTGGCAGCAATATTGGCTCCATTGCAGCACTTTAGATTAGATCCCAGATATATCATACTGTAAGGAAATATAATAGTATATGCTTGATACATGATACCTTCTTCCTGTAGACAAGAGTAGAATTTTCACTCACCTGAACACATGTTTAACGCCAATATGAAAGTTCATGTGGAAGATTATGTCACAAGTACATTTAAACGCACTAACTCACTGTAAGGGAAAGTAAGCATAGACACAACCAACACTAGATGTATGTAGTTTATATCACTTAAGACTAGGTCCATGACACATACTTAACAAAAAAACCCCCAAAAAGTGTCACCGATGTGACAGTTTAACCAGCTGAACTTACTGTGATTAAGCTAATCTAAATTATCTGAAGACCTGAATTAACTTTTAACAATCCCCCCCCCCCCCCCCCCCCCCCTTAACTCATATCTTGGGTATCATAACTACCATAATAATAATAAGTGCTTTGAAATAAAATCTGAAAAGAAATCTAAAGTAAGATGCTATTTAAACTATAGCTATCTAGAATTAAACTTTACTTAAAACAATATAACTTGATATGTAAATAAATATATGTAATAAAATTTCTAGTATAGTTTACTTTTAGTAGTAGTCTTTTACTTGTGTTAGCAATGTCACTTAACCTCTTCAAGAGAATAATTGTGGATTGCGATTATTGTCAATATTGACTAGCTCAATTTTCTTATTTGAAACTTCATCTTTGATAAAGTATCACCTGATGTTGCCTCATTTATTGTCAATGATTAGATTTGTAGCAAGATGTAACGCACTTTGACTATCACAATGAATATTAACAGTTTCATATTTTAGTTTTATAAAAAAAAATAAGAATTTTCAATCAAATAGCAATCTTTGATGCTTCAATTAACATTACACATTACTTTTGTTGTTCATTGAACTAGAATAAAACATCAACTAATGCATCCATCATCAAATGAAACCACATATGTAGTTGTAAAATTTTCTTAATCAATAATCAACATCAATGTGGATTTACAAGGAATTGGCAGTATCTACTTACTCAACAAAAAAATATCATAATAATTGATACCAAAAGATTAATAGTTGTATGTGTGAGTTATTAGTATAATTATTTAAAAAGTTGATTACAATTACTTTAGTTGTGATTAAGTTTAACCATCACGTTTATATTTGACAGTGAATTGTGATACTTCTAGAGGTTAAAATGAGCAATTTTATTTTTTTTCATATCAAAGTTTAGATTCCAAGGAAAAAAACTTTAAATACATGTTAGTTATGATGGGTTTAACTTATTTACAGTTTTTCACTCGTTAGATTGAATCTAAAGTTGATTTATTTGCAAATGTAAGTTTTAAAAGTTTCAATGTCTTCAATGATATGTCGTCATCTTAACCTAGGGAGAAAAAACTTTCTAAAGTACTTTGATTGTATAATGGCATGATCTCATGTATTGGAAATTAGAAATTAATAACCAAGATTTATCTTTGTAAAAAGTAAGTTAGATAATAAAATCTTGTGTTATCATTCTATTTTTGAAAAAGTTACAGA